TGCTTAGGATGGGAGTTATCCTGATCATGTCTGTAACCTATTTGGAAAAGTTCACAACGTCATCTGGAATGGATCACTGCAGTCAAAAGAAATATAAAGAGTAAAACTTGCCAAATTACTTAGCAAAAGTTGTCAAAACAGCCTGCTTTCCTCTGGCCGTGTTAGGAACACCTGGGACAACTTGCCATGTTCATTTTTTACTTGGACAGATTCCTTTGCAAAATCATCCAATGAACTGTTAGTTTCATTTCTTTTTTTTTTTTTTTTGGAGAAATTTCCAGCTAATAAAAACAACCACAGCCAACTCTTTGCTGTCACCTGGAATACCACAGTTAATATCTAAAACACCCCAGGACACTGATGAGAAATCCTAAACTTAAAAACGTTAGGTAACTTTGCCAAGTTCTCAAAGCTTCCAACTGGAGACCAAGGGGAGAAACTCATGTGTCACTCCTTGCTCTCAACCTGACATGATGAACAAGCTAGTTCACCCTAGGCAGTCCTCATTTATTCAACTGACTTTAATATATTCACATTGAAGAGCCTTCGCTCATCATTTATTTATCCACTCAAATTTGATTTTCCAGATCTTCTATCAGCAGCTTGGAATGTAGAATCCTAGTCCTGAAAGAAATCAGGAACTCACAATCCAGATTTGATAATGAGCCTTAAAGCTTATTTAGATAATAAATGATGACATAGACTGTCATCTTAATTTCCTCTTTAAGGCTAAGCTTATTTGTTAAGAGGCAATAATAATAGCTCCTGTCTCACAGGGCTGTGGAGGAGGATTCAAGGGGCTATGGAGATATTGGGTAGCATAACAAATATATAATAATGGGATTACATAGTGAATGGCTAAGAAAGACAAGATAGGATGGCTATATTCTTCTAATAAGTAAATAGGTAGAGTTCTATGAGGAGATAGCATCTCAGTTAAAGTTCTTTTTTTCAATCTTGGGGGCATAGCATAGTGTTTGGGGTGTGGAAAATTAATACAATAATAAAGATTAAACTCAGTTTAAGATGTCCTACTTGAAAATGTACACTGCTGAACAAGGAGGCATTAGTGTTGGACCAATGGTGAAATTGTTCAAATAATTAGCTTACTGAATTCTATGAACTCACAAGGTAAGCTATGGAAGGTGTAGTTAGAGATAAGTAGCATGAGATACCAGGCTCTTGCATATGAAGTTTCAACTTAATTTTGCAAGCTATTGTATTAGTTATCTATCGATTCTTAAAAAAAACAAAAAACAAAACAAACAAATAAAAACCACTCTTCCCCCACACAGACTTGGGGACTTCAAGAACAGCAGTTTATTTTCTAAGACTGCTGGATGCTAGAAATCTGAGACCAGTGTGTCAGAAATGTTACTTATGAAGAAGCAGATGACCAGGTGTAACAATATCAAATTTCTCGTGTTTCTAGTATTAAAAACCTGCAAAAGATATGTGTGGTGATTTGAACAACAATGGAACCCCATAGGTTCATATATTTGAATGGTTAGTCACCACAGAACTGCTTCTCCTGCAATCATCCCAATTTTGGAAGAAAAAAAAAAGCACCATGTACGTCATGTACGTGTAATGATTTAAGTCAGAAAACTGGAAGTCTTTCTACGTCTTCCTCCAAATACATCTCAAATGTATCCATTTTTCTCTATAGCCACTGTCACCATCATCTTTTACCTGACCTTTATCCCTCACCTGATTTTGACACAAGTCACCTGGCTGATTGCCTAACTTCTTTGACTGTCTCTAATCCATTCTCCATTCAGAAATTACCTTTTAAAATACAAATTAGGACATGTCATTCTTTCCCTTAAAAGCCTAAATGGTGTTTCATTGTTCACTACATAGAAACCAAACCCATTCCTGATGACATCGGCCTTGCCTAGCAATGAATACTGAACAGACTGACCTGTTTGCCATCCCTCAAGCCATACAGGAATTTCTATTCACCAAGTCTTAGCATGCGCTTCTCTAACACTTTGCCTGACCAACTCCTTCTTGTCATTTACCTTCAGTCAAAACACCCTTTCCTCAGTGAGGACCTCTCTTGTTTCAGATTTCAAAACATGATCTCTTGTGGAATATTATTCTAACTATGTAAAGATGTGCTACATTTTTTATGCTGTGGAATATTGCTTCAACTGTGTAAAGGTGTGTTGCATTTGTTTATGCTGTATTTGTTTAACAGTATAAGGATGTGTTACATTTGTTTGTGTTGTATTTGATTGTAAAAGATGTGTTGCATTTGTTTCACCTTGCCTGCTTAAGGTACCTGATTGCTCTAATAAAACACTGAATGCCAATAACAAGGCAGGAGAGGGACAGGTGTGGCTGACTGACAGAATAAGTAGGAGAAACCTAAGCTCAAGAAAGTAGAGAGAGAAAGAGAAGAAGACAACTGAGGTCAGCCAGCCCAGCAACCACTGACCAGCTAGACAGAGTGAGAGAGAGACAGAGAGAGAGAGAGAGAGAGAGAGAGAGAGAGAGAGAGAGAGAGAGAGAGGAGGGAGGGAGGAAGGAAGAAAGGAAGAAAGGAAAGAAGGAATGTTAAAAAAAAAAAGCTCTTTGGCAAAATGTAGATGAAGAGAAACAGATTAAAACAAGAACTAAGTCAAGGCAGAGCATTCAAAACTAATAATAAATCTCCCAATCATCATTATTCAGAAACTGGGTGGCGGCTTAAAAAAAAAAAAAAAGCAGGTACAATGAGTTTTCCTGAAGGCTTTGTTTATGGAATCTATTAATTGTGTATTGAACTGCATCTCATTCAAATTCATGTGAGGAAACCTTCAGTGCTCCCAAAAGTGATCTTATTTGGCTAAAAGTGTTTTGCCAAGGTGATCAATTGAATATGAGGTCATTATCTGGAACTTTAGATGATTTGATGGACACACTCAAAGGGAAGATTTGATTATAGATCCATGAAAAGGGAAGGTAACATGAAAGGACACAGGGAGACAGCTGTTGTCTTGGTTATCATTATAGTTGCTACAATAAAATACCCAACAAAAGCAGCTTAAGAGAGAATGGGTTTACTTTGGCCCACAGGTCAAGTACAGTTTATCATGGTGGAGGGGTCACATCACATTGCACTCATAGTTAACCAGCAGAGTGGTAAGTGCCTGTGGTCATCCAGATTTTTATTTTATATAGGACATCCCATGACACAAGCCCAGGAAATGAGGCCCACCTTTACAGTGTGCCTTCCAATTTCAATTAATCCAATCAACATAATCCGTATCAGCATGACCAGGGTCTAAAACAACTCCTCAAGTGTGTCTGGAAAG